ATGGCGACACCTGCATCCATTGCCTTTGTGACCTGATCAAAAAGGCAATCAGGTTGGTCTGACATGACCTGCCCCTAATGAAACCGTGCTGGTTGCCCTTGAGCATCATCCCTGAAGCCGGCCCATCACAGATGTGCTCCTTGAGGATCTTCTCAAAGAGTTTCCCTAGGATTGAGGTAAGACTGACACGCCTATAGTTGCCCGGGTCCTCTCTCTTCCCTTTTTTGAAGATGGGGACCACGTTAGCTATCTTCCAATCATTTGGCACCTGGCCCAAGCACCACGAGCGCTCGTAAAGCCGTGCCAAGGGCCCTGCAATAACCCCTGCTAGCTCCCTCAACACCCTGGGGTGGAGAGCATCTGAACCCGCTGACTTGAACACATCCAGCCCCTCCCCAACCTGAGGTCTGGAGGCATTCCCCTCGAGTCTGTCTGGCATCACAGCAGGGAAGTCCTGGTCCCTGCACAAGAAAACGGAGGTTCCATTCGCTGCCCTGGCTCAGCAGTGCCACCAGCCCCAGACTCACTCACCGTGGGAATCTTTATCTGCCTTGCCATGCTCCTTCCCCCTCCCCATGTCCTTTCCCCTCCACAGACTTTCCTGCAGGGCACTGCTCTCCACAGTGCCCAGTTGCATTCCTGGCCATGTGCATGCGTATGGCTGCAGGCATGCATGCAGTGTCTGGGGACCCTGACCAGAAGGCATATTATATTTATCAGTGACATTATCAGCTACACAAGCCACAAAAATCCAATAGCTGATTATGTTAATTTTCCTTTTATCAGTGCCAATCCAATATGAGACCGATATATCAGTGCACGTCTAGTTGATTTACTAGAAGGAAAGAAGCTAAAACACAAAAACATCAATTGCAGTAGTTTAGTGTTACCCACACTACACAAAACTCAGTCTTTCATAGCCGGCTCTTACTAGGTACACCAAGTCCCATTTTCAAAGACTGGGTTGTTTTAATGCCTCCTACTAAAGTGTTAACTCCGTCAGTTTCTATTCTTCTTCCCTCCCTTTTGTTCAGGAAAAAAGTAGGTATCAGGAAGCAGTTCTCCTGTTGACGGAAGAGAAGTATTTATAAGTACTGTAAGAACAGCCTGATCCAAACTCCACTGAAATCACTACACAGCAGAGATTTCAATGGCTTGTCAATGGGTTGGGTTTCAAAGCCTTTCAACAATTTCAGCTACTGAAAGTTGTCAATATTCCTGTTAAGAAAACTAAAGCCATGATGACTTGTTCGGAGTGACAAAGCCACCCACGGGCAGCCTCACAGCTTCCTCCTGCGTTCCCCTGCAATGATCACATTAGCTGCACAAAAGGCAAATGATTTAACCTTTGTCTGATAAGCTGTGACTCACCTCTTGATCCATCAGTTCTCTGTGCCTCCTTGCTCCTTCATGTTTCCATAGCTTTAGGCAAACTATGGCACTAATAAGGTAGACAATCATGGTGACAAACAGAAAGATCATTGCTGCTGTCTGTCCCCCTTCTATGCGGCAAAAGGACGCGTTAAGTGGTGTGTTAAATAGAGGGTAGTAGCACAGTCCACCCCGGTTAGCGTCGTTTACGTACACGATGGCAGCAGTCATGTACAAAATGAACAAGGCAACGTTGATTCCGAATTCGGTCAAAGGCCACCAGTTGGAGTCCAGAAGAATGGTCCGATAGTACATTGACATGCCCAGGACCAACAGCACGACCGTCACGAGCCAAACCAACCCTGCCACCACCAGCACAAAAGGGGTTTTTGGTCCGCTATAATAATAGCCTCCGTACATGCTGTTGGCCCCAAAGCCATAGGGCTGCGAGTACCCAAACATGTTGTACCACTCGTTGTCCTTGTGCACATAGGCGGTGACGCAGGCGAACACCACAGCGCCCAGGAGCAGCTGAACCACTCCGAGGATGCGCAGCAGCCCTGCCCACGACTTCATGTAGTCATAGCGCCGGCGGTAGGCTTCCACCTCCTCGCTGTAGGCCCGTGCCGCCCCACCGGGCTCTGATGGGAGAATGGCCTCTGTTTCGAGGCGCCAAGGGCAGCTGCCCCCTGACACACCAGAGGGGTCTGGATAGGAGCTGGCACCTGACTCGGGGCCTGGTGGCAGGGAGGGCGGCGGAGAGCAGCGGGTGCCCGCAGGCTGGGGCTGGCCCTGGCCCCACTTGGGGACATGGCGCCGCCCGCTGAAGAACTTCTTCCACGAGTCGGGCACGAAGCGCCGCACCGGCTTGATGTGGGGCGGCGGCGCCGGCGCCTCCTCCTCGCTGTCACTGGGATAGAAGTCGGGCCCGAAGGGCGGCAGCAGCGGCAGGGGCGGCGGCTCCACGTCCCCCGAG